GATGTATCGTTGTTTTCCTCTTATAGTTGATGTGTTTCCCTCGGTTTTAGTTTGTTACCCGGATTTGTTTTTGCTAAATCGAATTATGACGATTGAACAGCGGTATACTACTGTTGCCTTTATTCATCTTTACCTTTAAAACAATATCTTTTCTTATGAACGGCTAAAGCTGTGTACAGTTACTCTTGATCGACCATACGTTTTACCAAAAAAAACCACAAAGAATACAATCATCAGTATAGGGGAAAGATGACTGACGATTCAAGCCAAATTTGACTTTCTTCTAGATACTGCCTGATTAATTATTCTTGTTGTATAAAGTTTCTCTCGAAATATTGTAGTTTCAAGATTGTTTTCCTCGAATGTGACCTACCTAATTAGACTTATTACCGGGTTTAAACTTGCATTAGCAAAACGACGGGTGCCAAATGTGGAGCTGCTTACCCTTTCGGAGCACCTGAGATAACCCCCGGTTTTTGTTGGGGTTCGTGTTGCTCAGTCTTTAGTTTTATATGTTGTGTTTTGTATAAATTACTTTGTCTTTTTTCCGCTTTTTTTTTGCCATGTCGTTAACAATTTATTTTCGACTTATGATTTTGAAAGTCCCTTTGGTATATATAGTTATCAAAGGTACCAGGATTATAATTTAATACGCCAGACGTGCGTTTCGTCTACATAAAACTCATCAGTGACGCTCAGATCAAAATAGTTATAAAGCCAAACAAGAAAAAAGTTGAAGAGCATTTAGGACCCAAAATTCCAAAAAGTTGTGCCAAATATCTTTTGCATCTCTTTTACTTAGATTTTTAAAAATGGGTAACAGTCGCCATTTGAAGGGCAAAAACGCCTATACGGTGCCAATAGACCATTTCGGCCATGTTGATTAGTTTGTTTTGTTAGTAATTTTTGCTATCAAATTTTTCATCCATAATAGTTTTCAATATAAATAGATTTGCTTAATTATTTTCTATTCATTTATTGAAGTTTCAAGTTTGAGACCAAAAACGTAAATCTCGAGGCTCCAAGAATGCTGTATGGCTCACCTGGTATTTTTGCACAAAATTGATACAATAGCATTAGAACATCAATTCAAACTAAAACGCAAAATCTAAATAACTATTTAATAGTGGATCTTAACAAATACTTTAGATGTGTTCTTATTATATTTATTGAATTGTTAAAAGTCGAAAATGATGTTACACAAAAATAAAAGTATATTACATGTTAAATATTTCTGTACTCCATGTATACCTTACAACAGAACTATTTTTATTTTTATGTGCGTTATTTTATTTGGCGGCATTTTGTCAATTGATATTTTATAGTGAGTCTTTCTATGTTGTGATGTTACACTATTGTTTCAGGTTAGGGTGAAGGTTGGCGCCTATTAAAACGTTTAAACCTGCTGCATTTGTTTGCACCTGTCCTAAGTCAGGGAAAAAAAAGAGGGACGAAAGATACCAGAGGGACAGTCAAACTCATAGATCGAAAACAAACTGACAACGTCATGGCCAAAAATAAAAAGACAAACAGACAAATAATAGTACAGATGACACAACATAGAAAACTAAAGACTAAGCAACACGAACCCCACCAAAAACTGGGGGTGATCTCAGGTGCTCCGGAAGGGTAAGCAGATCCTGCTCCACATGTGGCACCCGTCGTGTTGCTTATGTTATTACAAATCCGGTAAATAGTCTAATTCGGTAAGTCACATTCGTGAAAAGGGAAGGGTATTGTAGTTACGACATAAGGAACATATCCGATATCATCTGTGAAACGGTTATTCCATAACGGTCAACCAACTCGTGATGGCGTCCGTAAAATTAACGAAGGAATGACTTCAACTTCACCATTTGAAACTCTTGGTTTAATAGCTTCCTTGTGAGCAGCAATCCTCTATCAAGGAAATCATGATAGGAAACACAAGCCCGGGAATATCGTATCAATTGGGAGATATATACTCCGTATACTCAGGAACCTGATGTTCAGTGGTTGTCGTTTGTTGATGTGGTTCATAAGTGTTTCTCATTTCTCGTTCTTTATATAGACTAGACCGTTGGTTTTCCTGTTTGAATGGTTTTACACTAGTCAATTTTTGGGCCCTTTATAGCTTGCTGTTCGGTGTGAGCCATGTCTCCGTGTTGAAGGCCGTACTTTGACCTCTAATAGTTTACTTTTACAAATTGTGACTTTGATGAAGAGTTGTCTCATTGGCACTCATACCACATCTTCTTATATCTACATATCTTATATAACATGAGTTACATAGTATCCTAGTGACCTAATACGATATATACGAGGTCAATATATTTCATATGGGATGAGAGCGAAGCTCGAACCCATATTGAATTTACTGACTCCTTATATATCGTATTAGGTCACTAGCACACTTGTAAATAATTTATCTTACCGACTATCTAACATGTGGAATTTAGACTAGTGCCCTATTAAAGTGATCAAGTCGCCTATTTCCATTGGTGAATATAAATTCCAGCGAATGCAATTTGTTAGTTTTTAATGTGTTTTCTGCGTTTATTGTCAATCTTTTATCATCAATGTCTTCATTTTTTGTCTGTGCGAAATGTTTCAGAATTTCATCAAAGTCATGTTGTTTCTATAAAGGGACGTAACATCACTACTAACCGTGTACTAGAATCAAACACGCCCACTGACCCAATATTAAATATACACGATCTCCACGCGGTCGCTTTTAACCAATGATATCCCTAGAAATGTAAAGGAGGTAAGATAAAACCTAATATTGATATTATTGTTGTCAGTCATATATTATGTATTTCAATGCATTTGTACTTTGTATTGAGCCTTTACTAATTAGGAGTCTACAGATGATTTAGCTATTATCTTGTCCTTTTCTATCTGTCATAGATTCCACAAAGTCACACAGATAGGCGAAAATTGCCATCACGGACAATAAATCCTTTCAGGAGTTGACCGACGAGTTTTGCCATTTTTACCATTTTGTCGATCGTGTTCGTTGATCATTTTAACAATTGCACTGTATCGCTATCTGTTATATTTTTCAAGATAATAGCAAACAATTTCAAAACCAGGAAAATATTTTTTTCAGAACAATACCTCATATAAGAAGCTTAAGCCGACTGACGATTTCGACTATTTGACATTTTTTTCAAATCTCGACCTATGGAGTAATCTGAATGTTTTGTTAAAAATAATCACTAGCTTGATCTTGATTCTCATATCATTTATGTCCTTTCAGATGTTCTCTATATATATCGGTGTACTTCCGTTTATCTTTTGTTTTATTTTTTGCATGGCGTTCGTGTCTATTGGCAGGATTAGTTGATGGTTGCTAGGCATTTTCCAACTATATGAGAATAGCAACTAAATCTTTGGTGACGATATTTACCCCTTTATCTTTCAATAAGGATTTATATAATAGTTGATATTGTTCTGAACCCATATATGTTGCTAAGTACTTTTAAATCAAGTAAGGGTCGATTCTTACAATAATGAACGTACACTTACCCTCTCACATTTAACCTGGTTACCAAATAAACGCAATAATCATTCTGAACATTTTTGTTTATTTAATGATTGCGTCTAATTGTTACAATTTCGACAAAATCTTACAAAAAGACGCAAGCTCAAATGCCAAATTCATCAACGACATTTGACCTTTGTGTCAAACTGAATTTTTTTTTATGCGCAACTGTTTAGCATTTCATGTTCATCCCCCATCTGTAACAGTTTGTGGAATATTTTGATAACAAGGTGAAAATTATTTTACAAAATAACAAAAATGAAGTTTATAGCAACCATGTTAGCAACCTGAATCCCAAACCTTTTGTTAAAAAATATTACTTGGCAACAGCAATAATTTAAATTGATAACCTCAATATAAATAGGTGCGGATGCAAAAGTGTGTAATCCGTTTAAGCAAAATGCCTTTAATTAACCTTCTTGAAAACAAAGAATATTCCTTTATGTTAATAAGTGTCTCTACTTTCCCTTTTTAGAATGAATTTGTATCTTCTATCTTACTTATTAATTGTTATATTCATTGGGGTACAGAACACTAAAGGGGGTTAACTCTTTAAAAATCAGCTGAACGTTTTAATCACATACTAAAATGAAGAGGAATCAAGCTTCTCAAAGATCAAAATTTGTGTTTTTTAAACTGCTATTAACCACAGAAATCATTCCGGTAAATTGTGTGGTTCAAATTTCATGATTTATTTTATATTTTTGTCAAAGTAAAATAACAAAAATTCCATACTCCAAGGAAAATTCAAAACGGAAACAAATGGCAAAATCAAAAGCTCAAACACATTAAACGAATGGAAAACAACTGTCATATTCCTGACTTGGTACAGGTATTTCCTAATGTAAAAAATGGTGGATTAAACCTGGTTTTATATCTAGCTTAACCTCTCACTTGTATGACATTCGAATACAATTCCTTTATTTTGATAACAATGTGTGACCAAAACAAACAGACATAATAGGTTTTGCATGTCAAAAACTGAGGTACAGTAGTCAACATTGTGGTATAATCTTAATCACTATAAAAATAAACAACTAAGTCAACAGGTTAAAGTAAATACTTTGTCAACATTTTTAACAAAATTAAACGAGCCAAATCTATTTTAGTCAAAGCGTTAGCTAAACCCTCAAATGAAACAAATGTTACAATATTCATCAACATTGTAATGTGTGCATGATAACTGCTTGGAATTTGTCTACTTCAACATTATGATATTTTGAGCCAAAATACAAGGGGACACGTTACCATGGTAACAACGGCATCAACAAATGCTTTGTCACCATATTTCTGATGTTTATCGAAAGATAAAAAAATTTCAAATACGCTTAACATTTTCGGTTTGAGGGTTCAATAGTTCAGTGGTTTTGTTACTTTATTTATCAAGGGCAATGTAAAATTTCACACTTTTGTTTGTTGATGTGTTGTTTTATTTTTTCGGTATTTTTCCAAATGTCTCTTTATTCTTTTTTAGCTCCAAGAACCAACAATGGTGACCCGGAAGACAAAGCATTGACAAGCAAATGTTCGAAAAGTCAAGGTACACATCTAAAGAAAATTCAGCACGTGCACACACGCCTATATTATAAGCCAATTGCTTATGATAGTTTGTTTTTTTTTTGTTAGATTTTGTTGTATGTGTGTTTGAATTGTTTAGTCAGTTGTGTTGTATATCTGTGATGTATATTTACACAGTTTTTGCTGCTAGATCCCACTTATTGCCACATTAACCTATTATGTCTGTTTTGGTTGCTCACCCAATTTAAAGACAATTCGGACCAGTTTGAAAGAAAAGTTGGACCAGTATGAAAGACAACTCGAACCAATTTGGAAGACAACTTCGACCAGTTAAAACACTGACCCATTTAAGGACGCTTATACTTATCAGATTCAAAGACAAAGCGGACCTCCTTTTTATGGTATGTTAAAGACAACTCGGACCACTCAATTATTTCTTTTATTTTACTTTTCTCAAAAGTTATGTACCATATCAGTTCCCCTCACTGACTATTTTAAATTGCCGACTTGAACAACATCAGGTTGACCAACAATACTCGTTTAATTGTGTTCGGCAATATTCATATCGACGGCTTGGTCATACTTTGTTTAAGTTCTATTGATGCATTTAAATGAGCTTGTTTGTTTTTACAATAATACAATTATTTTATCCCAAACAAGATCAATATGGCTGATCATCTCATTATCACATGGAAAATAACTAAATTAGTATACTTGTTTTTGATTGCCTATTAATGACTTAATTGATTGTATCATGTCTTTGAAATAGTAACTGAAAGTTGTATATTTTGTTTTGAAATATCCCCCGATCCTAAATTACTGTTTTATACATTTATAAGAAAACTCCATAAAATGAAACGATGCATTCATAAAATTAATAAAACAGAAACATCTTCACATTTCTGCCTTTCTAGCTGGAATAATGCAATGAAAATATCATAAGTGGTTCTAGTAATCTTTCAACTCTGTATAGCCTTCATAAATGGCCCGAGTTGTCTTCAACCCGATCCGAGTTGACTTAAAATTGGTCGGAGTTGTCTTTGTTCGATTTGTCATTGGTTCGATATGGTATGTATTCTGTCAATATAAATGAGCTATAAACAACTGTCATACAAGTTGGAAGGTTTAGTTAGCTGTAGAACTAGGCTTCACCCACAATATCTTCGGTACAACTTTTGTAAGGATGAGGATTCAGTAAAAACAAAAATCAATAAAACAATCAAAATTTTTTCAGCTTTCTGCTTTTGCGCAGACATCTTTGCCGGTATTATTTATCTCTTCTGGTCTCGTTTGACAGAGAACTTTTCGTAAAATAGAAAGGAGCATCATATGGTGTCCCGCAAATTTGTTGTTTTTGGTTACCGAAAGAACATTGGCAGTTAAACAATAAATTCCTTACATCTTAAAATAAGTCTAGAGCTTATTCAACATACGATTTTATATAGCAAACAAAATGTGTTCTCTTTGGAAACTCACCTGATCAATCAGTCACATTTCAGTATCTTTTAAGAATTACAAGCCGACCATGTATCTGCGTCGTTTAAATATATAAAGTATTACATCTATATTTAAATCTTTCTGAAATATGAAAAAAAAATTTACCTGACGTAAGCGTTTCTTTGTTTACATTAAAAATGACGTCATAACTAAAATCCTTAACATCATCGGAAAAGTTTCCGTATTTCGATTACTTTTTCGTCCTAATTCGTCATCTCTCACTGATAACAACTGCCTCATATTAAAACGAAAACTCAATATCAATATCGTTAACTTTCTATTTGCAACAGTTGCTCTTATGAATTTCCATGTTCTTGTTATGTAGACAGCCGCTGCCTTTATTCAAAACTCTCCTCGGAGCATTTAGACGTATTTTTGCACAAAGATCAGTAATAAGACGACTTTGTTTATTCGTTGTTTTAGGTATAGACTATATTAGTATGTTTTTGATTAAACTATACTTTAAAACTAGGAAGATAGTGGTTCTCTGTTTACATTGATTATGACGTCATATATAAAATTCTTAACAATAGGACCAAAACCGGATACCTTTTCGTTAATCATTCATGTCCATGTTAATCATTCATGTCCAGTGTACAAAGTAGTACCGATATTGTTGACATCGCAAAGTAGACAATGTCGACACAATGTTGTACAACGCTGTCGATATCGTTTCATACTCTTGTCTACATCGTTGACATTGACAATATCGCGGAGTAGACAATGTCGACACGATATTGTACAACATTGTCAATATCGTTTCATACTCTTGTCTTCATCGTTGACATTGACAATATCGCGAAGAAGATGATGATGATGATGATGATGATGATGATGATGATGATGATGATGATGATGATGATGATGATGATGATGATGATGATGATGATGATGATGATGATGATGATGTCTCTACATGATTGACATTGCCGACATGGTAGACGATGTCGTCACGATGTTGTCAACATCACGATGTGGGCGATGTCAACGATGTAGACAGGAAAGGGGGACGATGTAGACGATGTCGTCACGATGTTGTCAACATCACGATATCGGCGATGTCAACGATGTAGACAGAAAAAGGGGACGATGTAGACGATTTCGTTACGATGTTGTCAACATTACGATGTGGGCAATGTCAACGATGTAGACAGGGAAGTGGGACGATGTAGATGATGTCGTCACGATGTTGTCAACATCACGATGTCGGCGATGTCAACGATGTAGACAGGAAAGGGGAAGCTGTAGACGATGTCGTCACTATGTTGTCAACATTGCGATATCAACGATGTCAACGATGTAGACAGGAAAGGGGGACGATGTAGACGATGTCGGCGATTTCAACGTTGTAGACAGAAAAGGGGACTATGTAGACAATGTTGCAAGCAGGTATAAAATCATGAACGAAGTTGGCAATATCGGCGATATCGTCACTACATCGTGTACTGGACATACTTCTAACTTTTCTTCGGAAAATAAGGTTTTGGAAAAAAGTAAAATCACAAAAATACTGAACTCCGAGGATTATTTTTTTGTCAATTTTTAATGCTGACGATTGTATATAGTAAAGGGAAAAGTGGAAAAAAGAAGCTCGTGAAAGTTACTGCTTCTTCTTGAAGAACTGATGACATTTCCATCATGTGGAAAGAATAAACACGACATATATAAATATTTATAAATGAATAGTATAATAAATTTGGTGACCGTCTCAAAAATATTTATTTAAATGTATGTCTCACTTGGTGTGATGCTACAAATATGTGCGTGTCATGGTAGACATATTTTATAATATAGATGATTACATATAATATGTACCACATGTACATTTTTTGGTAAATTTAAATGTGAACAAATGCCTTAACCTTAAAAATATTTGACTCGTATTGTATCTTTCCTCAAAATGTTTTTTTTTTTTTTTTTGATGAGGCTGTAAATTTGAAAGCTTAATGTAAATATGAAAGATGAAACTATTATTGATATATCTGACAGATTCATATCTTTGTGGACATCTGAAAGCAATCATTTGATAGTTTATACTGCTTAAATATTTTGAAGATCACAGGCTTAAACGATTCTTTTTAGCTGCATTTTTAATTTTTATGCTGGGTATATATATGAGACAGCGATTAACCGATCAACACCCAACAAAAAAAGAAAGGATTTTATGTTCCTAAATAGTGTAAAAAGCAGAAGGAACATCTTCACATTGAATAAGAATAAAGGGGAAATTATCTTTTCATATCAAACGTTTTTAATACACCATTATATATTTACCTAGAACAATAAAACATACATGATATATATAATATTGACTTTTTGACTGGCTGTTGAAATATCAAACACTTTGGGGGGGACAAAACACACAAAAAAGCCAATTGATATATTTTAGGTAAACTGAAAAAATCAGCAGAGATCCGAATGATAATTTTGTTTCTATAAATTTAAGTAAATACTTTTCTGAGAATGTAAAAATAAAAATTTTGTTTTTAAAATTTCCATAAAGGGAATATTTGGTCCTCATTTCTTTAAAGGTAACATGATGCACAAAAAAATCCTCTTAAGAAATAGTTTGTTTGAAATTTCTTCAACACAATGTTTAATGAACCAGATTTCCTTTAATGAAAATTTGAATCAACTAACTTCCTTTGAGAAAATAGTATTGCAAGAAAATGTCTAGGGTTTTTCCTTGTGGAAACGAATATTTAGAAAAGTTTTTTTTTCCGAGAGGAAAACTAAATATCACTTGTGGAAATAAGTTTTCCCCGTGATGGAATTCGTAATAAAAGTGCATAAATCTAACAACAGTGGTTTTAAACCCAAACAATATTAGGATGAATATCATGCAAACAATACAAATTAAGTTCATTACTATCTTTAGATATTTGTTACCATATTTTACAAACTAGTTCATATAGGAACGTCATTAACAGTGCATGTGATAATATAAACGTCACAAAAAATACGTCACTTTTTGTAACGTTCATCCATTCATGTGACGCGCAGTTATTGTTTCGATTGTGGTGTCCTGGTGTGCTATCGTAAATTCATGGCAGGTGTCCGTTGTTATTCTGCGGTTTACAAGTTGTAATGTACTATTATATTATTTATTTACGTATGTATCTGTGCTGAGTGCTCTTTCGTTTGTTTGTACTGTATTCCTGTCACGTAGTGTTGTCATTTTAGCGATATTCTTAACACTGCCATATAAGCGGGAGGTTTGGCTAGCCATAAAACCAGGTTCGACCCACCATTTTTTCTTAAAATGTCCTGTACCAAGTCAGGAATATGGCTGTTGTTATCAGACAGTCTGTTTCTATGTATGTTGGCGTTTGCTTTTGTTGTACCGTTGTTTTCCTCTCATAGTTGATGTGTTTCCCTCGGTTTTAGTTTGTTACCCGGATTTGTTTTTGCTAAATCGAATTATGACAATTAAACAGCGGTATACTACTGTTGCCTTTATTCATCTATAGCTTTAAAACAATATTTTTTCTTATGAACGGCTAACGCTGTGTACAGTTACTCTTGATCGACCATACGTTTTACCAACAAAAAAAACACAAAGAATACAATCATCAGTATAGGGGAAAGATGACTGACGATTCAAGCCAAATTTGAATTTCTTCTAGATACTGCCTGATTAATTATTCTTGTTGTATAAAGTTTCTCTCGAAATATTGTAGTTTCAAGATTGTTTTCCTCGAATGTGACCTACCTAATTAGACTTATCATCGGGTTTAAACTTGCATTAGCAAAACGACGGGTGCCTAATGTGGAGCTGCTTACCCTTTCGGAGCACCTGAGATAACCCCCGGTTTTTGTTGGGGTTCGTGTTGCTCAGTCTTTAGTTTTATATGTTGTGTTTTGTATAAATTACTTTGCCTTTTGGTCTTTTTTCCGTTTTTTTGTCATGTCGTTAACAATTTATTTTCGACTTATGATTTTGAATGTCCCTTTGGTATATATAGTTATCAAAGGTACCAGGATTATAATTTAATACGCCAGACGCGCGTTTCGTCTACATAAAACTCATCAGTGACGCTCAGATCAAAATAGTTATAAAGCCAAACAAGTACAAAGTTGAAGAGCATTTAGGACCCAAAATTCAAAAAAGTTGTGCCAAATATCTTCGCGTCTCTTTTAGTTAGATTTTTAAAAATTGGTAACAGTCGCCATTTGAAGGGCAATATCGCCTATATGGTGCCAATAGACCATTTCGGCCATGTTGATTAGTTTGTTTTGTTAGTAATTTTTGCTATCAAATTTTCCATCCATAATAGTTTTCAATATAAATAGATTTGCTTAATTATTTTCTATTCATTTATTGAAGTTTCAAGTTTGGGACCAAAAACGTAAATCTCGAGGCTCCAAGAATGCTGTATGGCTCACCTGGTATTTTTGCACAAAATTGATACAATAGTATTAGAACATCAATTCAAGCTAAAACGCAAAATCTTAATAACTATTTAATAGTGGATCTTAACAAATACTTTAGATGTGTTCTTCTTATATTTATTGAATTGTTAAAAGTAAAAAATGATGTGACACAAAACTAAAAGTATATTACATGTAAAATATTTCTGTACTCCATGTATACCATACAACAGAACTATTTTTATTTTTATGTACGTTATTTTATTTGGCAGCATTTTGTCAAAGGTTATTGTTGTCTTTCTGATATTGTTTTACATCTAACCCCCTTGTTTTATTAATTTTGTATTTTCATTGTGTCATAGATCAAATTTATTCGTTCAGTGTATGTTCACTTGTTTTTGTTAATATGTCTTTTGATTGAGTTAAACCATTGCAATTGATATTTTATAGTGTGTCTTTCTATGTTGTGATGTTACACTATTGTTTCAGGTTAGGGTGAAGGTTGGCGCCTTTTAAAACGTTGAAACCCGCTGCATTTGTTTGCACCTGTCCTAAGTCAGGAACCTGATGTTCAATGGTTGTCGTTTGTTGATTTGGTTCATAAGTGTTTCTCATTTCTCGTTTTTTATATAGATTAGACCGTTGGTTTTCCTGTTTGAATGGTTTTACACTAGTCAATTTTTGGGCCCTTTATAGCTTGCTGTTCGGTGTGAGCCATGTCTCCGTGTTGAAGGCCGTACTTTGACCTCTAATGGTTTACTTTTACAAATGGTGACTTGGATGGAGAGTTATCTCATTGGCACTCATACCACATCTTCTTATATCTACATATCTTATATAACATGAGTTACATAATATCCTAGTGACCTAATACGATATATACGAGGTCAATAAATTTCATATTGGATGAGAGCGAAGCTCGAACCCATATTGAATTTACTGACTCCTTATATATCGTATTAGGTCACTAGCACACTTGTAAAGAATTTATCTTACCGACTATCTAGCATGTGGAATTTAGACTAATGCCCTATTAAAGTGATCAAGTCGCCTACTTCCATTGGTGAATATAAATTCCAGCAATAGCAATTTGTTAGTTTTTAATGTGTTTTCTGCGTTTATTTTCAATCTTTTATCATCAATGTCTTCATTTGTTGTCTGTGCGAAATGTTTCAGAATTTCATCAAAGTCATGTTGTTTCTATAAAGGGACGTAACACCACTACTAACCGTGTATTAGAATAAAACACGCCCACTGACCCAATATTAAATATACACGATCTCCACGCGAATTGCTTTTAACCAATGATATCCCAACTGTTTAGCATTTCATGTTCATCCCCCATCTGTAACAGTTTATGGAATATTTTGATATCAAGGTGAAAATTATTTTACAAAATAACAAAAATGAAATTTATAGCAACCATGTTAGCAACCTGAATCCCAAACCTTTTGTTAAAAAATATTACTTGGCAACAGCAATAATTTAAATTGATAACCTCAATATAAATAGGTGCGGATGCAAAAGTGTGTAATCCGTTTAAGCAAAATGCCTTTAATTAACCTTCTTGAAAACAATGAATATTCCTTTATGTTAATAAGTGTCTCCACTTTCCCCCTTTTTTAGAATGAATTTGTATCTTCTATCTTACTTATTAATTGTTATATTCATTGGGGTACAGAACACTAAAGGGGGTTAACTCTTTAAAAATCAGCTGAACGTTTTAATCACATACTAAAATGAAGAGGAATCAAGCTTCTCAAAGATCAAAATTTGTGTTTTTCAAACTGCTATTAACCACAGAAACCATTCCTGTAAATTGTGTGGTTAAAATTTCATGATTTATTTTATATTTTTGTCAAAGTAAAATAACAAAAATTCCATACTCCAAGGAAAATTCAAAACGGAAACAAATGGCAAAATCAAAAGCTCAAACACATTAAACGAATGGAAAATAACTGTCATATTCCTGACTTGGTACAGGTATTTCCTAATGTAAAAAATGGTGGATTAAACCTGGTTTTATATCTAGCTTAACCTCTCACTTGTATGACATTCGAATAAAATTCCATTACATTGATAACAATGTGTGACCAAAACAAACAGACATAATAGGTTTTGCATGTCAAAAACTGGGGTACAGCAGTCAACATTGTGGTATAATCTTAATCACTATAAAAATAAACAACTAAGTCAACAGGTTAAAATAAATACTTTGTCAATATTTTTAAGAAAATTAAACGAGCCAAATCTATTTTAGTCAAAGCGTTAGCTATACCCTCAAATGAAACAAATGTTACAATAGTCATCAACATTGTAATGTGTGCATGATAACTGCTTGGAATTTGTCTACTTCAACTATATAACATTTTGAGCCAAAATACAAGGGTACACGTTACCATGGTAACAACGGCATCAACAAATGCTTTGTCACCATTTTTCTGATGTTTATCGAAAGATAAACAAAATTTCAAATACGCTTAACATGTTCGGTTTGAGGGTTCAATAGTTCAGTGGTTTTGTTACTTTATTTATCAAGGACAATGTAAAATTCCACACTTTTGTTTGTTGATGTGTTGTTTTATTTTTTCGGTATTTTTCCAGATGTCTCTTTATTCTTTTTTAGCTCCAAGAACCAACAATGGTGATCCGGAAGACAAAGCATTGACAAGCAAATGTTCGAAAAGTCAAGGTACACATCTAAAGATAATTCAGCACGTGCACACACGCCTATATTATAAGCCAATTGCTTATGATAGTTTGTTTTTTTGTTGTTAGATTTTGTTGTATGTGTGTTTGAATTGTTTAGTCAGTTGTGTTGTATATCTGTGATGTATATTTACACAGTTTTTGCTGCTAGATCCCACTTATTGCCACATTAACCTATTATGTCTGTTTTGGTTGCTCACCCAATTTAAAGACAATTCGGACCAGTTTGAAAGAAAAGTTGGACCAGTATGAAAGACCACTCGAACTAGTTTGGAAGACAACTTCGACCAGTTAAAACACTGACCCATTTAAGGACGCTTATACTTATCAGATTCAAAGACAAAGCGGACCTCCTTTTTATGGTATGTTTAAGACAACTCGGACCACTCAATTATTTCTTTTATTTTACTTTTCTCAAAAGTTATATACCATATCAGTTCCTCTCATTGTATATTTTGTTTTGAAATATCCCCCGATCCTAAATTACTGTTTTATACATTTATTAGAAAACCCAATAAAATGAAACGATGTATTCATAAAATTAATAAAACAGCAAACATCTTCACATTTCTGCCTTTCTAGCTGGAATAATGCGATGAAAATATCATAAGTGGTTCTTGTAATCTTTCAACTCTGTATAGCCTTCATAAATGGCCCGAGATGTCTTTCAAACCGATCCGAGGTGTCTTAAAATTGGTCGACTTGTCATTAGTTTGATATGGTATGTATTCTGTCAATATAAATGAGCTATACACAACTGTCATTCAAGTTGGAAGGTTTAGTTAGCTGTAGAACTAGGTTTAACCCGCAATATCTTCGGTACAACTTTTGTAAGGACGAGAATTCAATAAAAACAAAAATCAATAAAACAATCAAAATACTTATGAATCAAAACTCGTTCAATTTTTTTCAGCTTTCTGCTTTTGCGCAGACATCTTTGCCGGTATTGTTTATCTCTTCCGGTCTCGTTTGACAGAAAACTTTTCGTAAAATAGGAAGGAGCATCATATGGTGTCCCGCAAATTTGTTGTTATTGGTTACCGAAAGAACATTGGCAGTTAAACAATTAAAATAAATTCCTTACACCTTAAAATAAGTCTAGAGCTTATTCAACATACAATTTTATATAGCAAACAAAATGTGTTCTCTTTGGAAACTCACCTGGTCAATCAGTCACATTTCAGTATCTTTTAAGAATTACAAGCCGACCATGTTTCTGCGTCGTTTAAATATATAAAGTATTACATCTATATTTAAATCTTTCTGAAATATGAAAGAAAATTTACCTGACGTAAGCGTTTCTTTGTTTACATTAAAAATGACGTCATAACTAAAATCCTTAACTTCATCGGAAAAGTTTCCGTATTTCGATTACTTTTTCGTCCTAATTCGTCATCTCTCACTGATAACAACTGCCTCATATTAAAACGAAAACTCAATATAAAATCAATATCGTTAACTTTCTATTTGCAACAGTTGCCTTTGTGAATTTCCGTGTTCTTGTTCTGTAGACAGCCGCTGTCTTTATTCAAAACTCTTCTCGGAGCATTTAGACGTATTTTTGCACACAGATCAGTAATAAGACGACTTTGTTTATTCGTTGTTTTAGGTATAGACTAAATTATTATGTTTTTGATTAAACTATACTTTAAAACCAGGAAGATAGTGTTTCTCTGTTTACATTGATTATGACGTCATATATAAAATTCCTAACAATAGGACCAACACCGGATACCTTTTCGTTAATCATTCATGTCCATGTTATTCATTCATGTCCAGTGTACAAAGTAGAACCGATATTGTTGACATCGCAGAGTAGACAATGTCGACACAATATTGTACAACGCTGTCGATATCGTTTCATACTCTTGTCTACATCGTTGACATTGACAATATCGCGAAGTAGACAATGTCGACACGATATTGTACAACATTGTCAATATCGTTTCGTACTCTTGTCTACGTCGTTGACATTGACAATATCGCGAAGTAGACAATGTCGACACGATGTTGTACAAGATTGTCGATATCGTTTCATACTCCTGTCTACAGCGTTGACATTGACGATATCGCGAGGTAGACAATGTTGACACGATATTGTACAACGTTGTCGATATCGTTTCATACTTTTGTGTACATCGTTGCATTGACTATATAGCGAAGTAGACAATGTCAACACGATAGTGTACAACGTTGTCGATATCGTTTCATACTCTTGTCTACATCGTTGATATTGCCAATATCGCTAACACATTACTCGTGTTTTATATTATTAATTTTGAATTCCCGACATCGCGAAAAAAACAATGTCAAAACACTGTTTTACAACGTAATCAATAATGTCAACATTGCAAAAATGATGATGATGATGATGATGATGATGATGATAATGATGATGATGTTGATGATGATGATGATGATGATGATGATGATGATGATGATGATGATGATGATGAGGAGGAGGAGGAGGAGGAGGAGGAGGAGGAGGAGGAGGAGGAGGAGGATAGAGATTTGCAAATTTGCAAACATTAAAAAACTGTCCAAATAAGTTCTTCTTTAAAGAACATCGACACAGACGTAATATGAATACATTATTTGAAATTGAAATTGATAAACTTATTGTCTCTACATGATTGACATTGCCAACATGGTAGACGATGTCGTCACAATGTTGTCAACATCACGATGTGGGCGATGTCAACGTTGTAATCAGGAAAGGGGGACGATGTAGACGATGTCGTCACGATGTTGTCAACATCATGATGTGGGCGATGTCAACGATGAAGACAGGGAAGTTGGACGATGTAGACGGTGTCGTCACGATGTTGGTGATGTCAACGATGTAGACAGCAAGAAAAACGAAAAAACGATGTCGACGATGTCGTCACGATGTTGTCAACATTACGATGTCGGCGATGTCAACGATGTAGACAGGAAAGGGAGACGATGTAGACGATGTCGTCACAATGTTGTCAACATCACGATATCGGCGATGTCAACGATGTAGACAGGAAAGGGGGACGATGTCGGAGATTTCACGATGTTGTCAACATCATGATATGGGCGATGTCAACGATGAAGACAGGGAAGTTGGACGATGTAGACGGTGTCGTCACGATGTTGGTGATGTCAACGACGTCGACAGCAAGAAAAACGAAAAAACGATGTAGACGATGTCGTCACGATGTTGTCAACATTACGATGTCGGCGATGTCAACGATGTAGACAGGAAAGGGGGACGATGTACACGATGTTGTCAACATCACGATATCGGCGATGTCAACGATGTAGACAGGAAAGGGGGACGATGTCGGCGATTTCACGATGTTGTCAACATCACGATGTCGGCGATGTCATCGATGTAGACAGAAAAGGGGGACGATGTAGACGATTTCGTCACGATGTAGACGATGTCGGCGATTTCAACGTTGTAGACAGAAAAGGGGACTATGTAGACAATGTTGTGAGCAGGTATAAAATCATGAACGAAGTTGATAATATCGGCGATATCGTCACTACATCGTGTACTGGACATACTTCTAACTTTTCTTTGGAAAATAAGGTTTTGGAAAAAAGTAAAATCACAAAAATACTGAACTCCGAGGATTATTATTTTTTGTCAATTTTTAATGCTGACGATTGTATATAGTAAAGGGAAAAGTGGAAAAAAGAAGCTCGTGAAAGTTAATGCTTCTTCTTGAAGAACTGATGACATTTCCATCATGTGGAAAGAATAAACGCGACATATATAAATATTTATAATTGAATAGTATAATAAATTTGGTGACCGTCTCAAAAATATTTATTTAAATGTATGTATCACTTGGTGTGATGCTACAAATATGTGCGTGTCATGGTAGACCTATTTTATAATATAGATGATTACATATAATATGTACCACATTTTCCTTTTTTTGGTAAATTTAAATGTGAACAAATGCCTTAACCTTAAAAATATTTGACTCGTATCGTATCTTTTCTCAAAATGTTTTTTTTTTTTTTTTTTTGATGAGGCTGTAAATTTGAAAGCTTAATGTAAATATGAAAGATGAAACTATTATTGATATATCTGACAGATTCATATCTTTGTGGACATCTGAAAGCAATCATTTGATAGTTTATACTGCTTAAATATTTTGAAGATCACAGGCTTAAACGATTCTTTTTAGCTGCATTTTTAATTTGTATGCTGGGTATATATGAGACAGCGATTAACCGATCAACACCCAACAAAAAAGAACGGATTTTATGTTCCTAAATAGTGTAAAAAGCAGAAGGAACATCTTCACATTGAATAAGAATAAAGGGGAAATTATCTTTTCATATCAAACGTTTTTAATACACCATTATATATTTACCTAGAACAATAAAACATACATGATATATATAATATTGACTTTTTGACTGGTTGTTGAAATATCAAACACTTTAGGGGAAAAAACACACAAAAAACCAATTGATATATTTTAGGTAAACTGAAAAAATCAGCAGAGATCCGAATGATAATTTTGTTTCTATAAAATTAAGTAAATACTTTTCTGAGAATGTCAAAAATAAAAATTTTGTTTTTAAAATTTCCATTAAGGGAATATTTGGTCCTCTTTTCTTAAAAGGTAACATGATGTACAAAAAAAAATCCTCTTAAGAAATAGTTTGTTTGAAATTTCTTCAACACAATATTTAATGAACCAGATTTTCTTTCACGAAAATTTAAATCAACTAACTTCCTTTGAGAAAATAGTATTGCAAGAAAATGTCTAGGGTTTTTCCTTGGGGAAACGAATATTTGGAAAAGTTTTTTTTTTCCGAGAGGAAAACTAAATATCCCTTGTGGAAATAAGTTTTCCCCGTGATGGAATTCGTAATAAAAGTGCATAAATCTAACAACAGTGGTTTTAAACCAAAACAATATTAAGATGAATATCATGCAAACAATACAAATTAAGTTCGTTACTATCTTTAGTTATTTGTTACCATACTTTACAAACTAGTTCATATAGGAACGTCATTAACAGTGCCTAAAGACATGATTTTCGTATAATACTAAAATGAACTGTATATATATATTTAATGCAGTAAAAAGGGAAAATGAACATTTAATCTTGATTCATGATCAGACTGTAAAGGGAGTTAATGTCATATTCCTATACCCACCTTACCCAATCCCTTTGTTTTTGTTTGTTACCTTTGTTTGTCTTTTAAATCGATTGATGAGAATTGAAGATCGGTAATCTACTGCTCCCTGAATCAATATCCCTGTTTTTAAACTTCTAGGAATGAAAATATACCTGCTTGTGAATTCAAATCAGAAAAATCATTAACAACAAACGCATTTCAACAACTAAAAAATAAAAACTCAATAAAAAGGCGTTTACAAAACATCACATACAAATTAAAGATAATTAAATCAATAGTAAATCATTTTCAATATTATTAGAGATACCAGTCATTATTCACGCTTTGTTCAGTCTATGATTCAGTGATTTTGTTACTTTAATTACCAATGACATTGTAAATTTCACACTTTTGTTTGTTGATGTTTTTTCGTTATCGTTCTACGACTGTTTATTCTTTTTCAGCTTCGTTTCCTCTGATTGTAAGTCCCAACAATGGTGACTCAGATAACATTATGTTGACAAGCAAATGTTCGAAGAGCCAAGGTACACACCTGAAGAAAATTTTTAAAAAAAACGAACATACACCTTATATTATAAGCCAATTGCTTAAAGGGGCATCAGCTGTCAAATTCATGTTCACCGATTTGATCCAAATTCTCACATTTGATTTATAACGCACTATAACGTATTTTCAAATTATAAAAAGTCTAAAGTAAACAATTTACGATGCATGTACTCGGTAATATGTATATGCATTTCGTGTGTATTTTAGTCTAGACGCCAACTTATAAACCATCGAGGTGATCTCCGAAGACTCCGACGGTCATATCACCCGATATAAACATAAATATAGTTATGGATAGAGGGTGAACACGTGCAATTGGATTTTTCTAGGTCTGTTTGATTTCATATTATAGGTTTACAAAATATGTTAATCATCATTTTTACCTGTATAAGAATGAGCTTTTGTAGATCGAATCAGTCAACCAAAAGGTTTACCATTGTTCCACTTTCAATGTTGACATTCATTTCTTTCTTTTTAATAGCTGAACACGCCTTGTTCATTAATAACCCATCTCTAGCTAATGGGTTAAATTGAAGGTCACATGAATATGGATTGAATGAGGTCGAATTATTCACTTACAAGTGAATAATTCATCAGCGATGTTTCTTTGCTTTTTTTGACAAAATTGAATCAAACTAGCTGCTAAAAGCGAATTTTTATTTCACTATTTGACTTTCATTGATGATTGAACCAAAGCAAATCATATTTTCATATTTTTTTATTTCTCGTAACTAATGCCCCTTTAACATAATTGTTTTGTTAAAGTCTTTGTTAGATTTATTTGTATGTCTGTTTGAATTGACCTGACAATAACAAACCGGGGGAAATTATGTTGTAAAAGACAGAAAAATTTCAAAGTAGTCACTGTACACACCTGAAAAAAAAACACATGAACACTCCATATACTATAAGGCAATTGCTTACTGTTATGGTACATTTTGTATTAACCAAAAACAAATGATTTTTATATAAGGAATTACAATTTTTTAAATGCACATCTTGTGACCAATCAATGCTTACGATCTGTTTGACCTTCACTTTTCAATATCATTTCGAAAAGCATCAGTATTTGGTCAAACCATGAAAGTAAAATGAAAAGGAATAACATAATTAGCATGTATTTATGACCTGCAAAGCTCTGTACTAAAGTCATAGGATTTATCCAATTATTGTCTCAGCGGCAAGACCAATTTGGTTGCTATCTGTGATACCGCGGTTGTAAATGGCATCTGGAATTTCTTATCAGTCACGTGATTTTATCGAGTCCGGTAATTTTAGCGCAACTGTGGGAAATCCGCAAATTATTGATAACAAGGTGGCGCTGTATTATATAAAACTTCTACCTTTAAAAAGAAATCGAATGGTGTAAAAAAAAAATTAAAAACGGACCATAATTGTTTAAACTACAACAGTTTAACATAGAAAATTGTTTTATTTTTGCATATTTTTTGGTTATTACTGTTTGTTTTTAAACTAATTTAAAAGTATTTTCCGACTGAAAGCGGAGCTCGAGTAAAACAGGTAATAACGATGAAGCGATCAGGTTTTACATGATGTTTAATAAAATAATGTAGACATATGTAGACATAAAGAATTTTACTTTTAAAATGTGCCAAGTTTATCGAGATTTATAAAAAAGATATATACTTTCAAGTACTAGTATTTTACTTTATATATTTGTGATCAATGTCTTTCATTACTTTAAAGAAATTTGAAAATTAAAATGGGGATAATAAAGTCGTGAAATTTATATCTATTTTTAAAAAGTGTGTGATAACAATTGAATATTAATTAACACGTTACAACAAAAAGAAAAACAACTAAACAAAATGAGTATGACGCTATCTTTTTACGTTATCTTAGAAACAAATTAAAGCAAAATTGTCATTGTTTGACATTATAATTATCAGGACAGAAAACAGATGAAGTTTTGTGATATCCTTCAAGACGAAGCGTGTTTATATGATCTGTAGTTTACTCAGATTAAGAAATTCAAGTCTAAGTTTGAAAGTTTAGAGGTTAAAAATTGACTATCAAGGACAATAACTCCTTAAGAGGTCAATTGACAATTTTGGTCATGTTTACTTATTTGTAGATCTTACTTTGCTGAACATTATTGCTGTTTACAGTTTACCTCTATCTATAATAATATTCAAGATAATAACCAAAAACTGCAAAATTTCCTTAAAAATACTAATTCAGGGGCAGCAACCCAACAACGGGTTGTCTGATTCAGGGCATTGAGATCTTAACCTGATGAACATTTTTAGCCCGTTTCAGATTTGCTCCAAATGCATTAGTTTCAGAGATATAAGCCAAAAACTAAATTTTACCCCTTTGTTCTATTTTTAGCCATGTCGGCAATCTTGGTTGGCGGGCGGGATCATCGCACACATTTTTAAAACTAGATACCCTAATGATGATTGTGGCCAAGCTTGGTTAAATTTGGCCAAGTAGTTTCAGGGGAGAAGATTTTTGTAAAAGTTAACAGACGACGACGGACGACGACGGACGCCAAGTGATGAGAAAAGCTCACTTGGCCCTTTGGGCCAGGTGAGCCAAAAATAAGAAGATGTGATATGATTGCCATTGAGACAAGTATCCATCAAAGTTCAAATGAAATGGATGTAAGCAATTATAGGCAACCGTACGGCCTTCAACAACTATAAAAGGCCTCGACATGAAAGATATGAAACAATTCAATTTTAGAAAACTAGAGACCTAGTTTATTACTTAACAATGTACGAAAACTAAATATGACAGACATAAACCAACAACAACCACTGAACTACAGACTCCTGAACTAGGACAGACAGTTACATAATGTGGCGGAGTTAAATATGTTTGAAGGCTCCAACCCTCAACCTAACTTTGGACAGTGGTGCAACGACACAACACAAAATCAAACTATGCAAAACAATAAACGAAAGACAAATATGAGAAACAGCAAAAAACGACCACCACTCAATTATAGGTTTCTGACTTGTGACAGGCACATATAGAATATGGCGAGGGTAAACATTATTGTAGGTGCCAACCCTCCCCTAACCTTGACCAGTGGTGAAACAGTACACCATAAGAACAAACTATAATTATATAATATTAGTGGCGGCTAGTTTATCTGATGTTAGAATATAGGAAATCGTTTCTACACTCGGTTTGCACACTCGTCTGACGTTTCTCTTCTATTTGTCTACATAGATGAGGGATTTTTTATCATTCAAAAGTAGCAAACAATCGCGTAATAAATTTTACCAAATTGTAAAAAGTATGCACTCGCTTTTAAAATTCCCACTTGATATCTCTTATAGCCAAATACAATTGTTGGACGTAATAATATTTAAATGAGATAGATTTAAAACTGAATTAATATTAAATATTAAACTCTATCGAAAATTATCCCGCCTCTGTATTTAGGGATTTATAGATGATGAAGTTTACATTATTCATTAGTTAGTGTAATAGCAAAGATGACCTCGATAGGGATACAAGGTAAATGAAATTAACACAATAGCAAATAAAGCACTATGGACAATAAGAAAAAAAACATTATGTTATAAATCTAAAAACAAACAAAAATGTCAACCACTAGTTCTAACAACGAAATATAATATTAATAATTATTTAAGCAGTTGCTGAATCACCAGGTGTTGTTTCCTTAAAAAAATAATTGCATTTCGATGGATTATTATTCAATAATTAATGTAACCGATTATTATAGTTCATACAAATTAATTGGGCTAGAGTACCCGATGAGAATGTACGATCTTGGTTGAATATGACCTAAATGATATTCGAAACACAAGGTGCAATTTCATCAAATCATAGATATTTCTAGTAGACTATTTGATAACCACAGATCACTACTTTGGAAAATATCCTTTCAAAGACATAAATATATAAACGTTTATAATTTTTCACAGAACACTCTACTGAGGAAAAGTCAAATCAGGTTTCAGCAGTTTTAAAAAGTAAAGTGAATATATACTTAAAACCGAGCTTAAAGCACAAAGTGCTACATATATGTATCATTTTGTCGTGCATTAACAATACAATAAAAGAATAAACCTGTAATTGGAGGAAAACATATACAGTCGCATAACTTATACACAGAGAGTTATAGAAATTATATACGGACAAGAAATGAAATGACTCATAGGCAATATGGTATTAGAAATGTTTGCTTTGATTGGTTCATGGACATGACTATTTATGAAAAGTATGTTCAACAAAAAACAGATAACGAGTATACTGAATTAATCAACATGGTTTGAATTATAAAACATAACCGATTCACCTAGTCAACATAATACAAACAGTTGCTTTATCCATAACTAAGATTTAATGTTTTTTTATCGACGAAATCACGAATTAAGTTATCAAGCAGACAATCCAAACTCATAATACGAAGGAAAACTGACAACACCATGGAAAAAAAGACGACGTAAAAACAAACAAATCCACAAAACACTACAAAGAAAACTAAAGACCGAGCAACACGTAACCTAAAAATATTTCTGATGCTACGAAAGGGTAAGAATATCCCGCTACTGGATGTTGCTCATGGCAAGTACTAATCTCAAATTTCCTTTTGGTGATGTCACAATCGGAGAAAAAAGGACCGTATTGTGATTATGACTATTGGAACATATCTGTTGAAATTTGTGACACAAATATCCTATTACGGTTCCATACGTAATGGCGTCTGTAAACATTTCGAAGTAATGACATCAATTTTACCATTTGGAACACTTGGCTCAAAAGCTTTCTTGTAAACTGGAACTCTCTGTCAAGGAAATATTGATCATAGGAAACGCAATATCTGGAATATCCTATCAACTAGGCGTTTTATACTTCATATGCAGAACCTGCTGAAATGTCGTTACATAAACGACATTTCCTAATTGGGAAGCTGAAATTATGCTTTTAGTCGTGTCGTTTTTTTTCTATCAACCTTATTGTCAATTACTAAATGTAAGTCAAGACATGATACAGACTTTACTGTATATGTGGTATCCTTTATTTCAATTTCGATTGAATAGATGCGTTCCACATATATCACCAAACTTTGAACTATTTTGTGATTCTACATCTAGTAATAATTACCTGTTTTTCAAAATTTTAAATTTCCACTGAAAACAAATTTAGATAGCAACTTTGAATCATGTACATGATACATGTATGTATGTTGTATTTCTGCTCAGTTCTATACAGCATTGAATGTTAACATTATATTACAATCTAAATATTTTTATATATGCTTGTTTTTTCTAGAAAAAAAAATGCAAACTGTAAAACTGGATATGAAAATGACATGAACTTACTACAATTATAACCTAGCTTACTAACATGATCGAAATTTGTCGTTGTCGTTTGCATTAATAAGCAGGCAGTTAACAGTTTGTCTTATTCATTTTTTTTTCTAGTTTTCAAGGTTTAAATGGTGTCAGATCATTTTAACATGTACTAAAGCCAATTTTTTATCCTCTTCAGAATTTTTCTTTTATTGCCCGGTTTAAAATGTTGAGTAATTTCAATGAAACATTTAATTTTAGAAAGTAAATGATGTTTTTTTTTCATTTCGGAAATTGAAGTAAAGGAATTTCAGGTTACTAAATGAGTTACGATAAAAATGTGCTATCTCTGTAAAACATTGAAAGGTTGAGATATATAAAAACAGACAGTCATAGGTTGCAAAATTATGCATTTACTGAACTGATCAATACATTTTGATTAAATAAGGGAATTTCAGTTTAGTAAATGAGTTAAGATACACATTATTTTTTCTGCTATAAAATTAGGCCGCAAAATTAAAAATTTTCTTTACCGGATAATCGATTTCAATAATATAAGGGAATTCCAGCGTGCTATTTATTTAATTTTAAAAGTTACTGTTTAATTAGAAAATAAGAGGTAAACTAATGTAGAAAACACCTGTCCATGGTTAACCTATTCATATTTTTCTTTACAGGTCAATGATTGTTTCAATAAATTAATTGAATTTTCTCTTGCTATATATGAATTTGCTATATATTTCAGAGCATTAGAGGGGGGATTATATACAACACAGCCACCAAATGGTATCAAATCTTTCCATTTTTTGTACCGGTCAACTAATTTCAATAACATAAGAGAATTTAAGCTTTCTATGGGAGTTTTGACAAAATTGTACAATTTATATAGAACATTCGAGGTAAAATTATGTCGAACCCACTTGTTATAGATAGCAAAATCACTCATTTCCTTTACCGGTCAATCAATTGGAACAAAATAAGCGAATTTCCAATTGCTATTTGATTTATGATGAATATTGTTTATTTCCTTAAAACATAAGTCGTGAAATCCATTACAACACACCAACTACCCCTAGACGAGACTGTAGCTTAGTCACATCTTCTTGTTTCAAAGCCATAAACAATCTATTTAACCAAAACAGCAAAATTTGAGGAGGAAATACAAATTAAAGAAACAGGTAGCCTTGGTTATCAGTGACGTGACAATAAATGCAGTTTTGACGTTACCGAAAAGACCTTTCTGTGCTTTTTCCAGAATAATACATAGATTTATTTTTTTTCAATATTGTTTTTGGACCTGTAAATATAGATCACATGCAAGTACCTCCTTTATAGTTTACCACACTTGTGCCCTATATATTCACCTTTTAAGTGAATATTTTGTGTCACTTACAATATTCTCAAATTAACCATAAGAGTGACAATGTGCAAATTTTGTTAAAATTTTCTTTCAGAAAAATCTGAATTGTGCAATTTTCCGCATGTAATTTTCTATCTTAATATTCATTAGGTTCCAAGATATAACAGTTTTTAATTTTCACTAACATTTCAATCATCTTTACGCTATAACCGCCTGATTGTGCAATACTTAATCTTTCAGGCGACTTGGGTCCTCAGAGCGCCTTCTATTTTATTGTCAAATTGCATCAAATAAAACATTCCGTTACATTTGGTTATTTTCACTAGCCATTCATTTTCCCTTATCCAAATGTTCTGTTTGTGCACTATTGATTATCCAAATATGTTTACGAGATAAAAAGGACATGCACTTTATTTAAACTCTGGTGGATAGTTGTCTCATTGGTAATCATATCACATCTTCTTCTTTTATTATAACTGTTAATTTAACTCAATTCTGTCAAACATTTCAATAATAATTCTTAGTTCCTGGTGTTAGGTTCTCTGTTGAAGTATTTCAATATTTTTGTTGTCACCACTGGACCTTTGATAGCTGACCATATGGGATGATTTTCCTCATGGTTATAAGTCGTATTGTACGCTTACCAGTAGTCATTTATACTGTTGTCCTATTGTCGCCAGGTGGATAGTTGTCTAGTTGCAATTATACCAAGTCTTCTTATTTTCATATTTCACTAAAAAAAAATAAACGTTTTTCTTCTAGTTTTTACAAAACGCTTACTAAAGATTTGATTCATTTCATCTGACATGTTTTTGGTAATTGGAATCTTACTACTATTACATAACATAATTGTTCACATTCCTTGTTGTAAATACCCATAATCAAAAGTTTAACATATCAGAAATTGTATTAAAACTATTTTTAAAACTATTCGGACATTTTCGCCGCCATATTCGTGTAGAGCTAAATAACACATATATTTGTTATCTTTCAGTTTCGCAAGACGATCATGCATGTCGGAAGCGTCGGAAAGAGAATAGTTGCAGTTCAATAAACTAAAGTGAAGATTTTCTTGTCGTCTAAATTTACTTGCATGTTACACATACAGCAATTTAAATATAATTTTTATTTAGAAAACACATGCAATTTAAAGATAAATTTCATATAAAATAATACTTTCATTTCATCTCATTGAAATAATCCATTAAACCAATATCAGTTATTTTTTTGTATACCTTGTGATTGTGCGGGATAAGTAAACATAAGTTAACATAAGCTCCATATCTAAGTCTTATGCGCTATCCTAGATGGTATGCCAAATTAAGGCAGTAGTAATTAACCGATGTTCAATTCTCGTAAATCGATTAGAAAACAAAACAAGGCAACAAACAAACAAACACCGAAGGAATCGCATGAACTCCGAAAGGAGTGAGACCATGTCTGTCGATAGGGTAAGCGTCTTCTGCTATGCAAACATTGTCCGCCATGCAATTCCACACACAGTAAAAATGTCACAATCGGGAATAGGACACATTTGGTAAAATTACATATCAAAGCCTATACTGTACTTAAAGATCGAAGACCACGAAAACATGTCGCTAATGAATTGAGACACAAGCATATCGTATCGGTCGAACAATTTGTGATGGTGACCATAAAACGTATGTAGTTTTGATTTCAGTCGTTTTTTATCATAACGCTGTTAGGACAGTTTTATTTTAGGAGCACCCCACTGTTAACAAAGTCCGTATAATTTGAACATGCACGAGCGGAATGTAATATTTGAGATATGCAAACCCCATACGACAGAGCAGAGGATATGTTATTGATGAGAAATGTGAAGTTGATAATTGAAAAGTTTAAATCATCACGTTTGTCATAGATACTAGTTTGAAGTCGTCCCCTTGTGTTAAAACCGAGGAAATAATCAAGATATGTAGCAGACCTTCTACTTTCGGGAGTATTCCTAATATCAAGCTCACTGCAATATATGAGATGTAAGCACTCATTGAAATGTGGGTTACTGAGTGACAGGACATCATCGATATATCTGAAGGTGAAATGAAAGATGCTATTTTCTTTTTGTCTTTGGGAAGGTTCTACAGTATCAAATCTGCTTCTTGAGTACAACAACAAATCGGTCAATAGCGTTGCACAATTTGTACCAATTGTAGTACACACTGTCTGTTGAAATATCTATCCGTCAAACTCAACAAATATTTGGTCAATTAAAAAAATCCAGCATTTTGAAGATATTATTTTCTATGTATTTGTTTTGGAGATCAGTGTGGTTCTTCAAGTAAGATTTGTCACTACTAACACAATTAGTGCAATCGTATTTAACTCAATTGTCTTACTAACTTGATCATTTGAGATTTTTAAAAATAAATAATCTAACCTAGTGTATGTTGTAAGAATACAGTGACGTACTGAAACAAACAGTTACTACTGGAACTGAGTCTTACCGACTTTTCTCAGATAATATTTCCTTCATACCAACCCATGACAACATCTTGGTAGACACATTTAGCATTTTGATATTTTGAGAAAAATAATAGATACTGGTTTGACAGAGAAATATGTAGTTTACATGATTAAACATGTTAAGCTGGAACATTGCTTTTCCTTGCCAATATACAACCAAGGATAGTGTTCATCTACATCTCACTTAATTACAACTTCAAAACATACCACTTAAGAGGTCTTCATTATAGTAATACTATATTTCAGTTAATAATAAAATTTGGCATTTGTACACTTTCAATATCTGTTTGTGGTTTTTAACAAAAGAGCAGCAACGTTGTGATCTTAGAGCAAACAATGTATCACCAAAATATTTTACCTACTAGATTTCTACATGCACACATCTTTTCTTCTGCATTTCCTTCTTCAGTGATCTTCAAAAAATTGAACTATCTGCATCATAAAACACATACATTTAGTGTAAACACTATTTAATTATTAAATGACAATACATCTGCACTAGTGTATATCTTTAAATTGTAAATGAAAAAAGTAAAACTTTGTATATTTCGTGCGTCTGAAGCGGATTTACCTTCATCAGGACTCTACAATCCAAACATTTGAAAGCCAGGAATGTAGAATTCGTAGAACTGTTAGGAGCTAAACAACCATCTGGGAACAAAACGACTATCTTGTTGATAAATATTCCGTATCAATTTCACAAATATTACATGATGGTCTTGAAGTATAGATTCTAGGTACTGACGTTGTTTATCATCTTAATTACGTGTTAAAGGTTCCCTTTTTTTGTCCTTGTATATTTTCAACCGTTACTGTTTAGTCCATTTTTTTATGATACGCATGACGTGGCTCAGTACTTATTCATCCCGCCAATGTGTTATTGTGCTATGGTCAACTTTGAATTATTGTGTTTCATTTTTCATGTGCTTTGTCTGTATGCCATTTTGTATTTCTTTGTTGAAACAGTTATTTGTTTTTATAGTGATTAAGATCATATTACAATGTTGACTGCTGTACCCCAATTTTTGACGTTTTTACCTATTAAGTCTGTTTGTTTTGCTCACACATTGTTGTCAATATAATGGAATTCAATGCGACTGTCATACAAGTGAGAGGTTTAGCTAGCTATAAAACCAGGTTTAATCCACCATTTTCTACATAAGGAAATGCCTGTACCAAGTCAGGAATATGACAGTTGTTTTCCATTCGTAAGATGAGTTTGAGCTTTTGATTTTGCAATTTTATAAAGGACTTTCCGTTTTGAATTTCCTTATTTTACTTTTTAACGAAAGAAAAGTAAAGCAGAAAGGCTAACGGAATGATACTTGACATTTATAGAAAAAGAGCTAAACTTTAGTTTTAATAAATAAGTCCTCCTTCCACTTCAAAACGAGATCATTTATATCAAATACAGGTATATCGATGATGTTTTGTTCCATTAACAATCCAATCTCTCCTGATTGGGTCCCATTAATATATCCTCCTGAACTAAAGATTAAAGAAACCAAAGGTACAGCTTCCTCCGCCTATTTCTAGACGTTTACTTCGAATATGAAGACAGCGGCTATCTCAGTACCAGAATATATGACAAACCAAACGATTTCAATTTTTAAATTATAAATTTTACTCAACTTAGCAGCAATTTACCAACCCGCGTATGGATTATACATTATTCAATCATGCGATATTCAAGAGCTTGGAGCTGCTACTCAAGACTATGTAAAACGTCATCGGTGTATGAGAAAAAAAGATTCATGAACCAAGGTTTTGTCAAAAATCGTCTTGTCCTTTTTCTCAAAAAATTCATCGGAAAGTGCCAAAACCTGATAGATAAATATTCAGTGTCTACTTCACAAATAATACAAGATAGTCTTGAGTTATTGATTCTAGGTGCTAAAGTTGTGTATTGTTTTATTTGTTTTACAGTTTTTCACTTATTTGCCTTCGTGCTATTATGTTTGACGTGACTCGTTATTTATGCATCCCGCTATCGGGTTTTTGACTTTGAACGTTCCTGGTGCAGGTGTGCCCTGGTGTGCGATTCGGACACAAGAGATTTGTACAGAGTTGATTCAATTTGTTTTACCATTGTATTTATATTTTACTTAATTTATCAAGAAAGTGTATACTATATACGTTATGTACTACATGTATCAACTACAAAAACTTTTATTCTATGTCAATTCACTATCAACTATAAAAACGTGTTTTGTTAGCGTCTTTGTTAAATTTATTTGTATGTTTGTTTGAGTTTTAGTCAGATGTGCTGTATGGTATGTCTGTGATGTATGGTTACAAATTTAGGCTGCTGGATCGCAATTATCGTCATGTTAGATTATTATGCCTGTTTGGTATGTTAACCAAATTCTGTCAATACAACGGAACTTTAAACAACATTACTGTCTTACAAGTGGAAGGGTTAGCTAGCTATAAAACCAGGTTTAACCCATCATTTTCTTCGAACAATGCTGCTGCCAAGTCCGTAATATGCCGGTTTGATTTTGTCAGTTTTTATGCACTCTCCTTTTTTGGAATTGGCCTTGGAGTTCAGTATTTTTGTTTGACTTTTTTCTTGGTCATTATCATTTTGAATATGTTTGCGATATGTGAACACTTGCAACTGTTTTTGCAACTGTGACAACAATTAGATGTGTACCTTTTTAAAAGCTGAATGACAAGAGATACCAAAAAGGCCTTTTTTTCTTCTGCAATCAGGTTATAATTCCTTTAAATGATTTTCATACGTCAAGGTTTGAAAACTTTCATTAACAGCCAGTAGGCAGCAATACATCAGATATTTGTTGAAACAATTGTTTACTGGAGACTGTTACAGGTCACGTTTAATTCGTAATTACAAAAGTTTATGCCCCTTCCGGAGCACCTGAGATCACCCCCAGTTTTTGGTGGGGTTCGTGTTGCTTAGTCTTTGGTTTTCTATGTTGTGTCATCTGTACTATTATTTGTCTGTTTGTCTTTTTATTTTTGGCCATGGCGTTGTCAGTTTGTTTTCCATCTATGAGTTTGACTGTCCCTCTGGTATCTTTCGTCCCTCTTTTATGGAGTCAATACACATTCTTCAGATCCTACTTGGATTATAATTCCAGCTGAATTGAGGTGCTCTGTGTAATAGTAAGTAATGAAAACTGGTAATCTATAATATAGTATTTCATTTTGAAAATCAGAATTGTTCTGCCTACTTTTTTCCTATGAAGTAAGAAACCGCTACTCCTATTTTGGATTTAAATCGAACAAAATACGTCTCTCGTATATTCTATGTAGTACGATTTTTTCAATGTATTCAGTAGCAAAAAGAGAGATGAAAGATACTAAACCAAATTCAAAATTATAAATAGAAAACAAACTGACAATGCCATAGCAAACAAAAGACAAACAACAGTACACAAAACACAACATAGCAAACTAACGACTGCGCACCACAAACCCTTCCAAAAAAGACGAGGGGGATATCAGGTGCTCCGGGTGGGTAAGCAGCTCCAGCTCCATATTTGGCACCCGTCAAGTTGCTCATGTAAGTACAAGACAAAAAAGTCTAATTCGGTAGGTCACATTCAAGGAAAAGAGGACG